TTTGGATAGAAATTATAAACAAAATCCTTTCAAAACGGTTACGCACATGATTTTTTTACAAGATTAGGTCAAAAAAAAAACTATTTCTTAATTCTATAAATTTATTATTAAATTATAATTTATTTGTTTTTAATACATTAAAAATTTAAATATAGTCATATATATTATACTTGGTTCGAAATAAAACATTGTGGATAGTTAATCGAAAAAAAAAAACAGTATACATTTAAATAAATATATGAGTATTGACAAAAATAATCACATTTTATTTTATAATTATTTACCTTGTCAATAGTTTTTTTTTGCAAATAATTTAGCTATTTTAACTTAGAAAACATAAAAAAAACTTATATGATTTTTATGAACGTAAAAAATGATGTGCTTGTCAGAAAAATATCTCTAACACATTGATTGACAGATAAATACTATAGAATTCGCAAACCTTGAACCTTTATAAAGTTTGGGCAGGCGAAAAATCACTAAACTGTCCATCAGAGTGTCAATACAAATCCGTTTCATGCTGTATGCATGTCATTAGTTTACTAATTAATGGATTCCGTAGTAAAGGGGAGGGTTACGTTTTCAGACAAATTATGTATGTATTTAATACATTAATACCTCTGAAATGTTATCGATATTATCGATTATATTGGCATATATTTGGTATGCATATGTGTATGGATATATTCGAAATACAATTAATTTCTGTAGTGATATATACTCGATTCTCACTTAAAATAATAAAATTAAACATTACTATTGTTATGTTTTGACGTTAAATGAAAACAAAAACTTTTTTTTATAATTCTTTTATGAAAATACTATATTTTTTAATATTAGTTACCAAAATGGATTTATATTTTGAATTTAATTGATAGTTGACGTATATAATGCATATAAATATACTCGTAATAGAAAAATGTTGATTGTTAATATTAAATTACTTAAAGATGTCAAAACGCCATGGAAAATGTTACTCAAGTGAATTTATGCACGTCACTCATGTATCGAATTGTATTTTAATTAAATTTATCATTCAACTTAAGGTCATCTATTATTCAAATCTAAAATACCTAAATTCTAATTTATATTCGAGCGATAACTCATCTTGCATAATTTAAAGAAATAAATACATAAGAAATTATTTTAAATATACATTATATTGCATTATTTGAAATTATTTATTGTTAAGTATACAATAAAATTATTTTTGAATTACGCAGTACCAAAAAAACTATTTATACAGATTTATAGTTTAAATTATTTGGTTGATTTCTATAGATTTTTCAATATCCAGATATTTATTTTTTTTTTCAACATAATGATAACATTATTATTTTAAATGTAAAAGAAGTGCATTTTTATATAATTCAAAAATATTGTTGTTACCTGAAATTTAAAACATGAGAATAATAACACCATTAGCTGTTTAAAAATATTTAAATCAAATTAGTGAACATTTAATAATTTTTATAAATTGTTAGTTAAATGTAATTGTTTTATTCAGATAGTAGCTACTCAATCAGGTGAAATATTATGTTCCATAGCAACAAATAACTAAACCGTATTTGTTACACTACTGTGGAGATAACTGATACATCAAAAGCATCAATTGCAAGATTATATTGTAACAATTACGGCACATTGATACTGTTGTAGGTACATTAATCTTAACATATAATAGTTTAACATGTTTTGCATTATTGATTACTATAAACTTAAAAAATCAGAAAAAATTTTTTTATGATTATGTGTATAGAAAGTTAACGAAAACGTTCATACCTATATTATTTTTATATGCATATATCCATTCTTTGTTGTACAAGATCACTTTTAGTTTTTAAACTAATTTCCGTTCTTTCATATTTTATATTATAAGTAGGTAATTGGATTTGTAATCGTATTAAAATATAATATTTTTTTTTGTAATAAGGAAATAAAGGAAAAACAAAAAAAAACCATAAAATAAATGCATCCTGTTCTTTTCGATCTAGAATAATATTTAATAAGAAAATTAGTTTATAACTCTGTGATAAGAATTTGACGAACGGTGTGGAAAATCGAATTTAGAAATAATGAGAGTGTACACTTATTATATTAGTTATGAGATTTCAGAGTTTTATCTCATCAGGTGCGTATCTACATTATTTTCTAATTATATTTTTTTCGAAAAAAAAAAATAAAATTGAGTAAAATTCAAAAAAAATAAAACAAATTTTAACTTGTTTATTTTTTTGATGTTTGGTACTTATTGTAATAAATTTATAACATTACTATTGTCATGCTCTTCCAATCCCTTAACGTGTCTCGTAAAACATAATATTGTGTTAAAAGGTAAAAAAAATTTAAACTAAATCTCAACCGTTATACAGCATGTCGACAATGATTTCTCCGGTTAAATTATTTCTTAATCCAAATAAATTATAATGAAACACATAAATGAAATCAGCATATTTTCACTTCGATAATCATACGCTGAAGTTCTTCTAGCGTTATGCATACCAGAGGAATATGATGATTATTATTTATTTTCGTAAAATCGCGAAGTAGGTTTACGTGCAGTCGTGGTGCACATTGGTACCCGGAAAACGGAAAATTTCGTAAAGAAAAAAATCACGAAATGTGACGCAAGTTGTCGGCAATCTGTAAATAGTTACGGGTTTCATAGGAAAATTCAAACTCGTTAAAAACTAGCGTTACGATGGGGTTGGGAAAACTTTCTGCGGATTGACGTAATCAATTAAATAAATACGTACGAAGGATGTTGGAATCACCCATTCTCTGCTCTTCGAGACGAACGTCAGTGATTTGTTCGGGAACGATAGGAATAAACACTGCGGGCACGAATAAATAATATACGCAAAATACAGTTTATTAAAGGACAGTAGAAAAAAAAACCAACGAGACAATTGTCGAACGTCGAACAGGTGCTGTGTAACTCTTGGTTGTCGATCATCACCGAATCTGCGAATTAACGTGCCAATGCCTTTTATTCCTCCGCTTTCTCGTAGCGCTGTCTTGGATGAAATTACATTTATAACGCAATGACGATAGGTTTTCCGGGAAATACCGTGAACCTTAAGTGCGATAATCGAAAAATTCTTACCGGCTGGTGCAATTCATCGCTGTACCTTCGCTGCATGTTTCGGTAACGCTACATCGTTCGATTGCGTTCCGATTACATTGCTGCATTCCACCTAACATTAACTGCAACGGATTACTTCATATTTTCTCACTTTAACTTACCACCGTGATATAGTGTGGTCTGTATTACTGGAATACTCGAACTATCCTTTGTTCCGCGTATCATATTTTGAGTATTGCATAATTTCACAAAACCACCGTTATAATCGCGAATCATCTTCGAATCGCATCGTTAATTGTTAAGACGCGTGTCCAACGTACAGCAAATTCTAGAATAGAAATTTCTAAAATAAAACAAAATAATAATTACAGACGGGTAGATCTTGGTAATAATTGGTATAGATGCATATAGATACTACTTTCATGCACAACGAAAAAAAATGCCAATGTTGAGGTGAATACTTGAGAACCAACGGTTTCGACGTTAACGTAAATACTACAATCGTGTTCAAAACAGATGTTTACCGGCATGGATGAATAAACCGTGGTACCAATAAAATAAAAAAATTCAGTAGCATTTTGACAATCCCATATAATTTGACATATAATCACGTTCCCCTTCCTCACTACTATTCGATACTTGCTCGACATACAAGGTTATCTTTTTCGGATTTCACTCGTAAAAACGACTCCCTGAGTGTTATCCAAACGGGATCGTATTTGCATCGAGTGCGGCTACTCGTGGTCTCCCGTGATCGCGGTCTCGCACCTCAGTACATGCCGATCACACGCCGCGCACCACTTTTACCAGGTCCGCACTATAACGTGCCACCGTATGGAGCGAAACAATCGTCACCCTAAAGACAGTAATCTACCAACTCCGTGTACACCGTGTAATATTTAACGATATGATTGGGCGATTAACATCATAACCGTAATTTGGATACCATGATATATTCCACGTTACCGCTTGTTACCATAAAGTTTAACGATTTAAACTTTTTACCGTGCGGTTATTGTTTGTATAAAAATATAATTTTTACCATATTTTCTTGTTTAATAGTTAATATTAATAGTACAAATATTTCCGTTGTAACTTGTTATAGTTGAGTTATAATTTAATGTTAGCACAATCAACAAAAATAAATCTTTATAGAACATCGAAAGTATAGTTTGATCAAATTATCATGTTTTGTGGTAACATAGAAAATGTCTACACAATATTCAACACAAACGCGGTCCACACGAAACACGGTGTTAGTGGAATACAACCTTAGCGACTGAACCACGTGGTTACGCCTTTTTCGAATGTCACGGAGAATCTGGTATCGTCCGACTGTTGCACTATTTCAAACCGCGTTTTCGATAGAACAAACGCGTGACTAAAGTACGCATAACACGTTCGTGGTACGTACCCGTTGGTGTAGGACAGCGTTTCTCGAATTTTATTTCTACTGGACTACTTAGAAATAATAAAAAAAGATCGTGGACCCTTTAATGAAAATAAAAAACAATAATAAATAATAATACTAAATCGATTGCTTTATTTTCTGAACTGAACGCACATATTTTTATGATAAATAACGGTAAACCGACGCTATCGGTCTATCTTTACCGCATTTCAACGATAACTATTTCGATACTGTATTTATCATCAACAGTATTAGTAATACGAATATTATATCCGTATTTTCGTTTTTGTAGACAAAGGTACTTTGTGTATTTTTAATTAACGTTCGCGTATCGCCCTCCGGTATACGCGAAGACCCTCGGGGGTTGGCGAGCCAAAGTTTGGAAAACGCTTGTATAGGACGTTTCGAAAGATGACGCGCGAACCCGGTCAGCGTGACCGCGGTAAGCTGTTACCGTGTTTACCGTGTTTACTGCTACAACGTCCGCGCGTTCGACTGTTGCAGGTGGCCTGTACCTGGACGACAACCCACTACAGTGCGACTGCGGGCTGCTATGGCTGGGCCAGTGGCTGCGCCGGTGGCTACGTGAAGCCGTGCAGGTGCACACCCTGGGCATGGCCGAGGCGCAGCTGGCCCAGTGGACGGCGCGGCGGGCGACGTGCGCGGATCCGAGGAACGGCGGGGCGCGCGTGCCCGTGGCCGACATCTACCCAGAGGACCTGCGGTGCAAGGCGAGTGCGCTTAGCGGCAGCGGCACCGGCAACACGGCCACCAAGACGTCCCACCTGATCGTCTGCCTGGCCCGGTCGCTGGCCGTCTTCTACATGGTCACCGTCTGGTGCAACGTCTACTAAGTGCCGCGTTGCGAGTCGCACCGGTCGACGGTCACGAACAGCGGCACGTGCCGGAACCAACGCCAGACATGTTGGTCGCACCGCTGTTGTTGTTATACACCCCTTATATTATATTCGTGTCCCTGTTGTACTAGTCCTGAAGAACACGGCAAACGCTGAAAAATAAGTTTTCTTCTCTCTCTCTCACCCTTAACATAACCCACTGATCCTCACTGATTATACCGTACGTGCGTGGGCCGACCTGGGAACCGCGGTAACCGCCCACGACCAATACGCCTTCGTACAGCGCGGTAATCGAATTCTGAAGGGGGAAGGATGTACCGACGGCTAACGCGATCCCTGCAGGATGAAAATGTGATCTAATCGGAACTCGAGTTCACCGCCGACCTGTTCGAAAGTCACGTCGTTGTCCCTCGATCGGCTTACGTACTACAACGTGTAATATATTACGACAAGATCCGCCGACGGGCTGTAATAATACCTTGGTCGTATCGTTTACACGAAAATCGCATCGCCCGTAACGCGTCCGGTACGAAATTGTTTAAAATTCTTGTTTCGCGGGAATAAACGTTTTTAGTTTTTTCTAATATCGCACGCGGAACCGACGGCACCGACGAGAATGACGTAGTGTAATCGCCGACAAGTTATAAATAGCACTTACTCCCTCACTCATTCACCAGAAAAAATGTCTAAAAAAAATAAAATATGTGACCTGTCGTCCCGGTCGTGGGGAGTTCGAGTTGTTTTTCTACGTCCATTATTGTACAGCTGATGCGACAATCGCATTATATTTTACTAACTGCAAGACGTAAAACTGCGATTTCAAGCACTCGCAACGGAGCCCACGCGATTCCGCATGAATCTTCCGCATTTGAAACAACACGGATAAAAAATTTTTCGGATCAGATGCGAAACACACACACAACAGACGCTCGCTATTCGTACCCACCCATCTTTGCCAATATTATGTATATGTGTACGGGCGTTACGCCGCTGATCGTTTTTTGTTACACACGGATGTGGCTCACGTCCATATTATTACTGTATTTTTAAGTATTATAATACCCATTGGAGGAGGAGAGAGAACTTTAAAGAAGTTTTGAAGTGCTCGAGTGAAAACAATTAATACTTCCAACGTTAACCCGTACCGTAAGCCTCAGAACAGAAACATACCATTATCAATATTACCGTGTATCTAGTATTACAAATAATTTCAATTTTTTATTTATTTTTTTCGCTTTCGTTAATCTTTCATTATATCCCAACTCAACGTACGTAAACAGAAATTATTTTACCCAAACACGTTTGTTCGTTGGAAATAATATATTTTGCAATTATTGATTTTCTTTCTTTTTATTTTTTATCCAATCGTATTTGTTTATTCGAAGATTAAAATCCCAAACTGTTTATTATATTCAAGTAACGATTGCGCCCCGCAGCATAATCGCCGTCGGTCGGTTGACGTTCAGGTGAAATTTTCACTACTCGAAATGATAGTGGCGTATAACACGTTCTATGGGATAGTAAATTTCAGTTTATTGACAACTCAAGGAAATATTTACTTTATCCAGACCGATCAATGTGTTAAATGACTATCATATTCTTAACATTACGACGCTTATTTCTATCATTTTATAACGACCACGTTCCATTGATTCCCAATATTGATCTTTGTTTGATGCACAATTATGATTTTTCAACGATATTTTGTGTACTCGTGGCGAAATCTTTAAACGACCATATGTTCCCTGCGTGTGAATTTAATAAAATCGAATGGGGAGAGAATTCTTTGAAAGGAAACAACGAGATCTTTATAGAGTAGCTGGTATTTTTTATTGAAAACTAAAATTAAATACGGTTGACCAATTTATATCTGAATAGTTTTCAGTTCTTTGACCTTATTCATAATGAGTCATATTTTATGTAAAAAAAAATAACGTATATCTTTTTATTATAACTCTGAGAATTATCTCAGTTCTAATTTTTTTTATTTATTTTTCTTTTTACCGAGCCAAATGAAATGTAAACCATTATATCGATTCAAGATCATAGGAAAAATACGAAATATTAAAAATAATATATTTTATTTTGTATGTTATGCGTTTTACAAAAGTTCATAATATACTCGTTTATATTTGTATATATAAGTGTAATATAATATTTGTTCTATGAATAGTTTTACTATTCAAGCGTTGTTCTCAGAGGAATAAACATTTTGACAAGGAATAATTTGTGTCCTTCAAAATACCACTTCATCCTTCCAATTATTTATAATATTATACGGTAGATGTGTTTGTTTATTTTTACCTTTAAAACCATTATAAATATTTATAGTTTTTTGTTGATCAAATAAACCTGTATACATGTAACGCTTACTTTTAAGACAGCTTTGTTTTGTAAATAATAATAAAAATGATTATTTAAATATGATTAAAATATTTATTTCATTCATCCATAATTCTACGCTCTTATTACGAAAATACACTAATTTACTCTACATTATAATTTTATGATTTTTAAAACTTTTTGATAGTAAAATGAGCTTTATTTGTTATTTTTAAAACGTATATGATATTTTTTTCATCAAAGAAGTTCAATTATCAACAATTCTTGAAC